TGGGACAGTCACAAGCCTCCCGGTTTTCATCCAAAATATCTTAAATTGTGTTCCGAAGACCAACGAAGCTTTTACGGGTTTGGAACGACATGGGGGTAAGTGATTAATGACAATTTTCATTTTGGGGTGGGGTATCCCTTTAATGGCTTGGAGAGGATCTGTAAAGAGGAGTGGGACAAAATCCCTCCTAAGATGTGTGCAAACCTGGTGGCCAACTACAAGAAACTTCTGACCTCTGTGATTGCCAACAAGGGTTTTGCCACCAAGTACTAAGTCATATTTTGCGAAGGGGTCAAATATTATTTAACTCATTAAAATGCAAATAAATTTATAACTTTTTTGAAATGCGTTTTTCAGGATTTTTTTGTTGTTATTCTGTCTCTCACTGTACAAATAAACCTACCATTAAAATTATAGACTGATCATTACTTTCTCAGTGGGCAAACGTACAAAATCTGCAGGGGATTAAAAACATTTTTTTCCCCCACTGTACATTTTCATTCTTTTTCATTTCCTAAACATCTTTTCAAACACCATCATTATAATGCTATTTTTTATTGTTGCTAAAGGAAAATCTATAGCATTAGAAGACATAATGTGAGTGATATTTGCCGGTACATCTGTAGTTGGCTAAAATGTAATTGTCTGTTTGCACACAATGAAACAAATTTGAGATTTTTAGATGGTCCCTATCGAATTTCCCGCACTACATTGGACATTTGCAAGTAAATATGCCATTAAAACAATACTTGGCCATTTTGATCGATTGTAAAAAAAAATAATAAATAAAAATAAAAAAAAAATTTGAAAAATGAAGTAGGTTGACAATCATGTTGCTGATTAGAATCTGCAAAAAAATTACTTTATTGCACATATAATAAAAAAAAATTTGAATGCGGAAATATGTGCGAAAGTCTGAATGTGCGAATATAAAACCTTTACCCAGGTCTCTGGTCCCCTCCCTGCTTACCGGGGCGATGACATACATCGCAGACTGTCATCACTCAATTTAGCCTATCACTAACCAAAAGTGGTTGTTCATTGTTATTTTCACCAACAGAACCTTCATGCCACAGATCAGATATTTAAAACTTGAAATTTTAAACACATTGTGGGGGAAAAAAATTAGACACACCCACAGACATCATCAAGAACCAGCAAATGTTTCAGTTAGTGATGGGACTGGATGACTTCTTGATGGTGTAAACCATATCACCTGATCACTCTTGTTGATTGTTTCCTTTGTTTCTCTTTCATTCAGTGATTCTGCTTGTTATCATAAGGTGTCTTCAGTGATCGAAAATTTATCTCTTAATTAACTATTGAAGTACCTAATTAACTCTAATTACTTTTAACACCAAGCGGTGTTGATTTAACACCGGGGTTATTTACTGTGCAGGTATGCTCATTTACAATGTTTATTTAAAACAGCAGAGCAAGAAACCAGCAGGTAAGTAGAATTGATATTGAAATGTAAACACTCCACTTCCCTTAATAACAGTCCATTGTCTCGACACAGGCCAGCGTGCTGAGACTCCAGATGAGTGGTAATCCAATTTCAATTAAATTCCATTTAAATAATTGCATTTTAAAATATATTTATCATCATAAGACCAGTTGTTATCCCAGCTGGCTGTTAAAAAAAAAACCTAAACATTAATAATGGTTGTAATAACAAAACAGAACAATGTGGCTATTCCTTAGTTTTTAGTGAACCACAAGCCTGGTGGATTAAGTTTAATCACAACAGACAAAATGCAATTCAGACAACATACCAGTCATCATACTGACACCCCCGTCGATATTATAGGACATGTACATAATGTGAAGTGCTTGCTGTTGTTCACCTGAATTGTCAGATTGTTGTTGGAATAGAGGCAGTTTTAGTGCTTGTCATAGCTCCATCAGTCTCTTGATCGTGTTACCACTATTGGCACTGTAATAATAATCACAACCACACAAACTAACAGAATGATGGCTGCAAGCGTTTTACAAATTTTGTTCCTCTTCATTTCAGCTGCTTTCTTCTTGAGCAGTGAATCATAACCAGGGGTGTAGAGATCTTCCAGCCAGAAGCTCAGCTCTTTTGGGTCCTCCTGAAAGACACAAAATCAGCTTGGACAGATATCTCTTAAATGTAAAGCTACAATTTCATACACTGATCAGCCACAACATCAAAACCACTGACAGGAGAAATGAACAACATTAATTACATTGTTACATTGGCACCTGTCAGTGCGGTGGGATATACTAGGCAGAAAAGGAAAAGTCCGTTTTTGAATTTCATGTGTTGGAAGGAGACAAAATGGGCAAGCAGAAAGATGTGAGTGCCCTTGACAAAGGGAAAAATAGTGATGGCTGGACGACTGGGTCAGAGCATCTCCAAAATGCTAAGAACCCACATAGAAAACAATCTTGGGCTGAATGTGGCCTTAACTCAATTCCTGGAGGGCCACAGCTCTGCAGAGTTTAGCTCCAAATCACACCTGCTTTGAAGTTTCTAGTGATCCTGCAGACCTTGATTAGCTGGATCAGGTGTGTTTTATTAGGGTTAGAGCTAAACTGTGCAGGACACCGGCCCTCCAGGATTTGAGTTTGAGACCAGTGATCTAAGAACATTTTCATGTTAAGCGTTTTAAAATGTCCCTGTGTCCCCAGTTTTCTTCATTTTTATTTCAGTACAGTTGACTTCTGGAAGAAATACACGGACATTATTTTTGTTGATTTGGAACGAGTGGTTTTTGCTACTGTTCTTTCGCGGAAATCCTCAATCATTGTTTTGATAAATTACTGCCGCTGTGTGGACGCGAATGGCATTGTGAACTCTTTGATCCTCTTCCTGGGACTGCATTTCTCCTTTTTTCCAGTATTTCCTTATTTTGAAGAATCCAGCCATTGCCCCTTCGCTTTTAGTTTTTTTTTTATATTTCACAGTTTTTTGTTTGTTTGTTTGTTTTTTGGACGCTTTGCCACGTTTTTTGTCTCAAGATTTGCATATTTGTCTTTTTTTTGTTTGTTTGTTTTTTGGATGGACATCTGCATGGACTTTCAGAACTGGTAACAGAGCCTTGTTTTAAATGAATCTGCATTACAGTGTTTGCTGGAAAGACTGTTCTGCATATTGGAAACATTCATGTGGACGATGTGTTCGCTGATTTCCTCTGAATTGCTTTTTCTTGTGTTTAAAAGGAAAATACTTGTTCTTTTTGAACAGGTTGCTGTTAGTTGATCTGATTACCCTGCCATATCTGGACACTCCAATACCAGCCCAGTTTCGCAGTGAGGTAAAAATGCGAATATTGGGTTGCGACTTTTGTGATTCTCACTCAGGTATGTTGATTTACATGAGAAAGAGTATCTGAGGTGGAATGTAATACACGCTGTCAATATTAAACAGAAAAATATATTGTGGGAACTGTTACCTTGATTCTTGTTGATTTGACTATTATAGCAGAGGGCAAAGAGACTGACAAAAATTTGAGTTAAGTGAAACTTTATATATATATATATATATATATTTCTCATTGGTGAATTCAAGTAAAGTGACACAAGGTTTTATCTGTGTTTCTTATACTGGTAAAAAAATTATAGCCTGAATGCACTGCAAGTCGCTTTGGATAAAAGCGTCTGCTAAATGCATAAATTATTAATTATTATAAATTATTATTATTTCCCACTATTCTTTGTGTTTATTAAACATTGGAACAATAAACCCAAAACGTCTGATTTCTTGGAGTAGGGGCATTCCTCCTGTCTTGTGGGCTGATATAGGGAAGAGGGGTTAATTAACATCAATATACTCTGGAGTGCTACCGTGTACGTTATTATGTTCCAGAAACTCAATCCTTATCATTTACTGCTACAAATGAGAAAAGCATAATCATCAAGGCAGGCAAAACATTCTTAAATAAGTACTGGAATCAATTGTGCTAGGAGTGAGGACCTAAATCCTGTCATTTTACAAGTCGTCCAAGATATTGCAGAAGAGAAACATACCCCTACATTGCAGTAAAACTTTCTGCTACTTTAACATGAGGGAAATGAGGGAAACACAGGTGGAACAAATTAACCAATAATCAGGTAACAAGATGGGTGGGGTAAAGACAATTGACATGAGAGCACATGGCACACAAGAAACAAAGACAAAAGCCATGTGCTCAGACAAAACAAAAACACAAGCACATGGCCAGCAAAACAATCACAGGCCATGTGCTTGAACAAAACAAGACACAAACACGCAGCTAATGAGATAAGCCACGTGTTCACACAAGACATGACAACATGCACTGCAATGAAAAACAAGCTGCATGCTACACAGCACAAGATGTAACATGAAAGCACGCAGCCGAAAACACGAGCTGTGTGCAACAACACAAGACACGAGGACAGAAGAGTGTATGGCCCGAGAGAACTCGAGACCGCACGCTCCCACAACAAAACAGAACATGGAGCGCGAGTGTCCGAACCCCGACACCAAACCGAAACTGAATCTGAACAAGACACGAGTGCCGGGATACAAAAAGCCCGCTCCAACATGAAACAAGGCACGCAGACAAGAGAGCGCACGGCTCGAGCACACTCAAAGACGCGCGCTCACAAGAAAACAAGACAAGACGGGAGTGTCAGGGCTCCGTCACAAAACAATTAATAAACTAGACCAAAGTGACAGTCACAAGAAAACAAGACAAGATGGGAGTGTCAGGGCTCCGTCAAAAAAACATGAATAAACTAGCCCGAAGTGACAGAACCCTCACACTACCCCCTCCCCAAAGGGACGCCACCTGGTCCAGTGACAAGACAGGAACATGATATGACAACACAAGACCAGCACAAACATGATAACACAAGACCGACACACAACAACAGACAACACAAGAAAGGAAAATCAAAACACAGAGGCTGCGAACGCAACAACCTACTCAATGAGTAGGTACTTAATTTCAATAAGTACTTACTTAACGAGCGCTAAAAGAGTAGGCACTCTACAGCCAAATCTCGTTAAGTATGAATGAGATCCGGACTTCATCCGCCATGTTGACGTTATCATGTGATCTA